TGTGATGATTGCTAGAAAATGTTGATAATGAGAAAACATTATCAACATTGTTGATTGTTGATAAACAAGTTGTTTAAAGTTGCAAAGTAATGCAATTGTAGGAATACTTTAACCAGTAACGGGAAAGTTATAAAAATTGCAGTGTTTGATAAGTAATAAAAAGAATGTACAATTAACAAAAATAAGCAACATTAGTTGCCATTGAAATGCATACAATAGTTATTTTGTAGTGTGTATTTTTGGGTCTAAACCTGTACCACATGTTGTACTGTTAAAAATAAGAATCCTTTATCCTTTATGAAAACATGACTAACTTTTATCAATTGGTAAGGATCCAAATCAATGAATGCTCTAAGCACATGCTTGGAGTCTAAGGGAGTCTTGTTAACATTGTGACATGATAACTACAAATTTGGTGTTATTTGTTTTCAGTGCATTTAATATTTTACAATAAAAATACAATTTACTTTTAAGTAAATTCAGTTTTGTGCACCTGGTGATATGTGTTCAGTGAATTTGATAATTTACGATAAAAACACAACATTAAATTGTTTTGTGGCTCCTCCTGAGATTACAAGGTTCACCTGATCACAAAAATTATTTTCTTTTCCAGATGAACCGTGTTTCGATGTAAAGACAACTGAAGAGGCGGCGATCAACCAAGCGGATTTGCCCCAAACAACTTACGACATAGGTTAGTAATAGTTGTTTTTTTTTTCAATGTCAAAACAACTTTTTTTTTTTTTTTTTTTTACACAATTTACTTTTTTGCTTAATCTTGAAATCTTACATTTCATAATAATTATTTCATAATAAAGCAAGACTATACAAAATCTTCATGTAGGCAGATTTACAACTCCACCAGCACCCATGCAAAATTGACAATGTAAATATCAATCTTATTACAGATATATCAAAGACCAAAGACCGGAATAGTGAAATGGACGACTCTGGAAAATTCCAACTTCTTCAGACCAGAAAACCACCCAAATCTTTCAATTTCCCTGCCAGAGAATTTAAAGACAACCGAAGAGCCAGTGGGGTGACCAAAAGAACAGGCCAGAGGGACTGGCTGGACAAGTATGACTTTTTATCATTTTTACATCATATAAAGATGATCTACCGTCAGGATCAACATTCAGGCAGGAAGTGAAGTTGTGGCACACAAAGTGGTCATCATCAGAGGAAAAACCCAGCTCTCTCCCTGAAATTCTAAAGATAACAAATATGAAGTGCTACCCAATCATTTATATGATTCTTCACCTTCTGTCAGCCATACCTGTTACCAGTGCTTCTGTGGAACGTGCTAACTCGGGTCTTAAAGCAGTGAAAACTTTGCTGAAGTCAACAATGGGACAGGAAAGGTTTGTGGCTTTGCTACTTTTGTATGTGCACAAGGACATTCAGTTAGACATCAACAAAATCATAGACATATTTGCCCAGAAGCATCCCAGAAGGTTGACATTTGTAAACCCATTATCATCATCATAAAGTTTGTAGTAGAGAACAATATTCTTTGTCTGGTTTAACTTTGTTTTTTTTGTTTTTCCAACAGTTTATCTTGTTAAAATATATTCAAAACTCCTTTGTCTTAATTGAACCATACTTGAACCCAAGTCCTTGGGTTTTTTTTATTTCATGTTCTGTGTAAATATCATTTCTGGAAATAAAGAAACTCCTTGTTTGATTAATTGTTGATAAGGATCATTTTTTTCTTCAAACTACCTTTTAACCTTGTGCATGCTTTAAAAACCGAGAGATCCTTTTTTAATTACAATAATGTAATTATGCTAATTCTACTTATGTTCATCCATTAAAATTATCAATTAAAAACCCTTGGATGAATAATTAGGGTAGCGTGAAAGAGTGAAGATGGTATTCTTTGGTCTTTTAGCCTCACATTGTCTTGACCTATGACCCCGTGACCCGATGACTCCTAGGTGCGCACCCCCCTTTGAAAAATCCTGGTTCCGCCCCTGTTTATTATAAATTATACTAGGGTTGTCAAAAGTATCGATACTCAAAAAAGTATCGATACTGAAATGTTGTATCCGGATACAATACTCATTTTCAAAAGTATCGAGTACCAGTCGCACCTAAACAGTCATTCATCTAAAGTGCAGAATAGAGGAAAATGCACTTTCTGAACACTGTGTGATCGAATAATTCTGTGCACTTTTCAGTTTCAGACTTTTTTTGTAACAGTTGCAGCTGCTGAGAATTATTTTTGTTTCTTAACTGGTTTGGCTAGCGTCATTATTATGTGTGCAAAGCATAGCCAAGTAAGGAAAACTTAATTCTAATTTTGTAAGTTTTTTATCAAGCTTGCTAAATACTGTGCACAGCAAACAACCTCAAAATGTTGTTCTTATTGTTTATTGTATTTATTTATTTATTGTATTTTAATTATTAATCAAAATATTTCTGTTTAAATTTTATCCTTGTGGTATCGAAAATGGTATCGAGTATCGAATATTTTCCTTAGTATCGGTATCGAGTTGAAAAGTTTAGTATCGTGACAACCCTAAATTATACATATGCATACATATGATTATGCATATATTAATTATACATTATTCAGATGCATGTATTTATAAATGAAAGAACACTGTACAATACAGTATTTTTTTGTTTTTTATATATATTTGTTCATACCGTTTCGTGTTTTACTTTTTTTTTCTTCTTTACAGCCCTTTGTTCAGCTGTGGCTGTTTTTAATTGATTAACAAATGAAACTGGATTGGATATTTATTTTAACTCTGTCAATTATTCTCTTATCTTTATAAACTTTATTTATAAACTGTTCTGTAATCTGTTGCTGCAGTAACTCCACTATTTCCCCACAGTGGGCCAACAAAGGGAGTTTCTATTCTATGTAGTGTATATCTGCTGTTTATTTAGTAATGTCTTCCAAAGCTCTGATGCCTTCATGAAGTTCTCCCTCCAGCCCTGATGTCAACAGTCTGTTGATTTAAACTAAACTCCGCTGCAGTGCTAAGGCATCCTTCTACTGTTCTGCTTAAAGCAGCAGGTTAGGGCAGCAGGATGACCTCCCCAAGATGGCGCCCGTAATGTCTGCGCAGAGACAGTCAATGCGGGGTCTACTCTAATATTATCTCTATGGTAGAGACGGCTTTCTGTGATTGCAGTGAACTCGGAGCGAAGAAGAGGTTTAACCGGAGAAAATTACTAACTTGACCGCAGGCATTAATACCCAATGCTGGAAGTGAGCGAGCTGACCGCAGTAAGATGGCCGCCGACCAGAAGTTATCTTTAGCTTAGCGTGTTGATCTCCTCTAAGCAGTTTTCCAATCAGATGAGGCTAAAACCCACAGTGTGCATCATCAGGGAATCGTTTCTATCAGGTGTTTCCTACCTATCCGGTGTAAGATGATCTGGGGGATCCTGGTGAAATCCAGCAGTAGATGTTGATCGTCCATCTTTTCCTCCGAATTGACCAAACTCCCTTTAAACTCCGTGAATGTTTCTTCAGCAGGAGTTAACTGCTCGGTGATAAACTCTCCTTGAAGCTGGACTGAAGACATTCTCACTGCAAACACTCCCAGATTATCAGCCTCTCTACAATGACTCCACACACAAGCTAAGCTAATGCTGCTAATGCTACCCGATCCCTGCCAGCAGCTCAGTGCGCATGCGCGCCTACATCTACATCCGGGTCACAGTCGTCTATCTAAAGTGCTGAATAGTGGAAAATGCACTTTCTGATGTTTTATTTTGTTTCTATAGATTTCATAGAAAGGTTGCTAATCATTTCTTTATAATAAACTTACTAATACTCTTTGCTAAATATTATATTCATAAATACAAGTTTGCTAATAGGACACCTTGTTTTTCTTTTTTCATTAAAGATATGGGTCTATATGTCAAATCAATAACAGACTCTGCAAATCAAAAGGCTCAAAGGACAATCTCGATATGTACGTCTCTTTGCATGTTCAAAAATGCACTTTCTGAACACTGTGTGATTGAATAATTCTGTGTATTTTTCAGTTTCAGACTTTTTTTTTTGTAACAGGTGCAGCTGCTGAGAATTATTTTTGTTTCTTAACTGGTTTGGCCAGCGTCATTGTTATGTCTGCAAAACATAACAAACAATGGTTTAGAATGCGTTTTTGAACCAGATGCTTCAAAGCGCCCTGTCCATAATTCTTCACCACACTGTCAGCTCCCTCTGTCAGTCAACCTATATAAATTCATTTTTGACCATTATTGCAAGTTTGACAAAATAAAACATATCAAACTTTGCACGTGTGTGGCCTACTGAATTGTTTTTAATCCAACTGAAATATTTGATTTTCTAGTGCTTATGCGGACACTAAACATGCCAAGGGCTGAAGCTCTTGACAGACATCTCCCTTTGCTTAACAAAAGACTCCAGTCATTTTGTTTGGTGATATGCTCACATCTTATGAACAAATGCATTATGTAAATTATAAATGCATTATTTTAGCAAGACACATTTCTAAAGGAATAAAGTAAAAGATTAAATAGCCTTTTTTTAAGTAGCATACTTAAGATATGTTTCTGTTAAATATCTATTGAAACTCTGATTTCCGACATGTGCCCCCCCCCAATTGTAAACATATTCCTACGCCCTTGCTCTATCATTTAGGCCTCTTTTCTCTTTCTTACTGCAATGCTTATTTTTAATACGATAGAGCATAGAAATAAAATCAGAAAATCATTTAAAATCAGCTTAATCTCTGACACATTGAGCTGGGGTCCGTCTCTTCAAGGCAGACGTGTTCAGGAGGCTCTGCTGAGGCTAGGGTGTCTCATTACTTCGTCATTTGCCAGACAGTCATTGTGGTGTTGGATATAAATGTTTTATCTTTTTTTTTTTACAATTATTTGTGGAGAAACAAATTTAGGCCAGAATGTACAGACTGAGATTTTATGTGCGGCGTCCTTTATTTTATCACTAATAGAAAGTCTTTCTGCAGTTTGTCTTTCAGACCGGCTAAAGGATTATGTTGGAAAAGAGGAGGATTTCTCTGACCAGCAGCTCTATGAACAGGAGAGGAATTCCAGTTTGGACGAAGAACCAAAACCTCTGCAGATAAAAGAAGAGCAGAAAGCTTCTTCCTATAACAAACTAGATTCTTTCTCAAGGTTCATTTATAACATGTTACTTTTTAACCAAAGTGTTTTGACTCTAACTACTTTTCCATTGTTGTAAGTAAGGGGGAACAAATGCTGCCCAGATCAGAACAGAGCAGAATGCTGTGCCATTAGGGCTGTATGATGATCTGTTCTCTCTTTGCAAAGATATGACTGAGTGAAATCCACCGATCTCCATTTATTTTACTAGGATGAATAGTTGAATACTTTTTTCCCACGACAATTTGGCGTTGTCAATGCAGGATTCTCCTTGACTGATTTTTTTCTGAGGACAGCGATTGTCAGAAGTGTCAGGTACCACCTGGAGGAAGCAGTCTTCCAGCCTCAATACCCCGTTAGAAGGTTAAGGGAGTGAGGACTTCTGGCATCGAGGTCCCTGGAGGTCAGCAGGAGGATCAAAACAAACCATTTATTTTTTGAGACGGTGAGATGAATCATTTGTCTGCACAGATTAAATTGAATTAAAAAAAAAAAAATACAAAACAACAGATTGTTAACAGATTTAATGATTATTAGAAATCAAATACTGGAAAATTATCTCAAACAAAGTCATCTTCTCCATTAAAATAATCAAATAAATAAATATAATCTAGCAAAAAATAAATAAATAAATAAATAAATAACTAAATTAAATAGAGAAAAGTATGTTGTGAGAGGAACGTGACTTAAGGTGACAGAAGGATGAAGTGGGGCGACTGACCAGACGACATTCCTTTCCTGAAAAGGCTTCTTCTTTTATACGGTAAAGATGAACAACTTTATATAATTATAAAATCTTGTATTATTCATTTGAAACATTGGAACTCTTCCTTAAATTAACCATTTTTTTTTTTACTCCCTGCCCTTTAAACATGGACTCCCTGATTGGAGCCGCTCCTTGCGGATGTTGGGATCTGGAGGTCTGTCCACCTTTCTCCAGCTGAGGGCGCCCTAGGTCTCCTGGAGCTGAAGCTGACTACCACACCTGCGGCTCGTTTGCTCATCAGGAGCCCAGCATTTAAGCAGTGGCAGAGCAACACTCCAGTGCCAGAGTGTTAAGCCAGTTACGGTTAGCAAGCCAGAGCCAACCAACCTGTCTGATTCTCTGACTCCCCTGAAACCTTAACCTGAACCTAACCTGTTTTGTTCTCTCTGCTTCCCAGGAAGAACCTGTCTGAACCCAGAAACTCAGGAAGAGTTTCTCAGTCTGAAACCAGTCTGTCTGATCTCAGGAGAACCCTGGAAGGTCAATCTGTAAGATACCTGTCTGCCTAGCTCTCTGCCTGCCAACAGCCTCTGGACCCTCCTGGTTCCCCTCATCTGCCGCTCAGCTCAAACCTCTGAACAGGTACAGACCTGCACTCATCCAACCAGCAAACATACCTGGATATCTGCTAACCATTCTGTCCCCCTCTGCAGAGAAACCAGTCGTGACCAGTCCTGAATCTGATAACCCCCTGACCTGTTTATTCAATAAACCTTTGAACTTTTTTCTCCTGTTTCCGAGTGTTTCTGCATATGGGCTAGGAACCTAAAACAAAACATGACAGCAGAATTCAGACCTGGAGGAGTTGCCCCCCCTCCCATGCTGCAAGCATCAATCTCCCCCCAACGCACACACACCGTCACAGGAACCGGATGGAGATGATGAGTTAAAATATGGGGAAAACAACACAAAAGGATTTTCATCTGCTCTGAACCCCTGACCCTGATAACTCATCTGAGCTGCAACTTGTTCCCCAATGTGTGTGTGTGTGCAAGAACTATGAGGACAGAGACACAGGGGACATTTTTTTTTTTTTTTTTTTTTGTGGAAACAAGGAGGAGGTGCACCAAAAATAAGGCTTTCCTTCTCTCCGGTGCTAATTTATTTTTTAATTATTGAATTATTTGTTTTTGTTTGAGAAGTAGCTAACCTTTTTGGACTGAGGTGGGGGAGCTCCAGGACCCAAACCGCCTGAAGGCAGCAGTCAGTAAAGGGTAAAGTGATCGATTATATATTTTATTTTCCATTTCAATAGAGTTCCAACTATTCAAGAAAAGCTTGATAACTTTCTCTTATTAGATTCCTTTCTGCATCTTGCAATGAAGAAAATGCTTGCTGACAGACTTTCTGACTGACATGACTTTATCTATGGGAAATGTCTAATGAGGGTGATAATGTACGGCCTGTTTGGCTTTTACTAAACCATGATTGTTTTAGAGTAATTTCTGATCAAATTAGAACCAACCTTAAGTATCTAAACCAAAAATTATCTGTTTAAAAGAGAAAAACTCAGCAGCAACTGTCTTTTCCTATGTCGGCTTCAGGACTGGAAAACAAAACGTTTATTATCAGCCTGTGGTTGTTTAAAAACAGGACAGGTCTCGTTTTGTTCATTTCCTGCTGTCACCATGTTCCATAATGTTATGGACGGACCTGGAGATGAAAACTTAGGCAAATCCAGAGAGAGAAAAGGGTCCAAACATGGGCTGACACAGTAGTTGTGAAATGCGCACAGGTTTTAGTCACAAACCAAATTCTCTATTTCCACAGCAGCCACTCGGAGAGATTAGCTTCCTCTCTTCATGATTTTGTGGTATGTTGCTTTGTCCCTGTGCCATGAATGTCTGAGGTTCTGACTAAGACAGAGAAAAGGTGATGGTTGCTCTGACTTATGAAAATGTAAACAAAATAGCACCTTATAAAGGAAAAATAATGAATAATATAATCCAATAGGATAAAATCTAAAGTTATGTGTCAGTTTAATCTGAATTAGATTTCACTAAATGAAAAACTAAGAGAAATTGATTTCCCTTTCCTCCAAAGAATATTAATACACATGTATATCATTTAAAACATATAAACAATGAAATCAGCGATTTTCAATCCTTAAGTGTTTAAAATAAATGTTACCCTACAGATTACAAATATATGGGATGTAGTTTGGAAAAATGCAACTAAAATACATAAAAGCTATGAGTTTATTAACTAAAATGGCAGATTTGCAATAAATTATTCCTGAGAATTTGACTCAAAGTGGCATATTTTCCTTAGAGAGTGAAATAATACTAATAATAATAATATTAATTTTTTGCACATTTAAAACAATTATGTTTAAAAGTGAATAAAACCTAAAACCTGCTTAATGGATTTAAATCTAGAATGATAAAAAAAACCATCCTAACTTTCAGAATTAGGACTGAAATAGCACCTGACATAAAGTTATAAATGGTTGATAATGCTTTCTACTGGGACTGGGACATAAAAGGCCATTAGGAGTTTTCACCTGAACTCCTGTTCTGTCGCCATACCGACACAATTCTCCACAACAACAGATTTTTTTCTGCTACACCCGGCTACACTGCTCCGCTTCTTCTTCTTTTTGTTTACTACTGGTGGTTGGCTTTGGTCGCAGTACCGCCACCTTCTGCTCTGGAGTGTACACGCTTCGCCTATGAGAAAAAGGAGCAGCGCATGAACCGAACGAAACACACGCAAATCGAACCGAGACAGTCGAACCAAACGGTTCGGACGGTTTTCTTAACCGTTCCATCCCTAATATATATATATATATATATATATATATATATATATATATATATATAAAATGTGTATGTATATGTGTAAATGTATGTATATATATGTATATATATATGTATGTGTATGCGTGTGTATATATGTGTATATACACATATACACGTACCTATAAAACAACATATATGTATATGTTGTTTTTTTTCTTGGTGGTTTACAAATAATCTGTCAATGATGCTTTAGGGTAAAATTTACCCTTATTTATACTGTTATACATACATGCACACAATCATTTTCTTTTTTTGTTTTATGCTCTATTACATGGATGAAATCATACTTCCCTTTCAAAAAACTCGGTAGTGCTCGCCTCAGTCACCCCAGATAAAATAATTTAAGTTCACTCAGATATTCTTCTCCAGTCGTTCCTGTTGCTCCTCCGTCAGCATTAATCTGTTTGCTTTTTAGAGCCTGAGTTCAAATCTGGCCATTGGATAAATCCTCCTTTGCTTGTTGGAGAACTTAGATCAGGAAATAATGTAGGTACGTATTCTGGCCCAGTTGGTTTGGCTCCTGATAAAACAAGTGTTTCAGTTGCTATAACTGTGTGTGTCCAGAGCCGCTACAACCAAGCAACTAGAGGAATGAAGGATGTAACTATGGCTGTGTTCACAATGCAGCCTGAAGGGAACCTAATCTGATTTTTTTTTTTTTTTTGGTTGCCTATATGCAATATGTACCTGCTTTTTTCACAACAGTCTGAATAATACCAATCTAATGTTGCAACAATAATTTTGGACCATTTAAAACAAAATGAGAAAAAATGTGTTCTGTTGTTGGACTTCTGTGCTCGTCATGGATTGTCCATAACGAACACCATGTTCAAGCATAAGGGTGTCCATATGTGCACATGGCACCAGGACACCCTAGGCCGCAGTTCGCTGATCGACTTTGTCATCGTTTCATCGGACTTGCGGCCGTATGTCTTGGACACTCGGGTGAAGAGAGGTGCTGAGCTTTCCACTGACCACTACCTGGTGGTGAGTTGGCTCCGGTGGTGGGGGAGGGTGCCTGTCAGACCTGGCAGGCCCAAACGTGTTGTGAGGGTCTGCTGGGAACGTCTGGCGGCGTCCCCTGTTAGGCGGAGCTTTAACTCCCATCTCCGGCAGAACTTCGAACACATCCCGGGGGAGGTGGGGGACATTGAGTCCGAGTGGACCATGTTCCGTTCCTCCATTGTCGAGGCGGCTTATCTGAGCTGCGGCCGCAAGGTTGTCGGTGCCTGTCGTGGCGGCAACCCTCGAACCCGTTGGTGGACACCTCCGGTGAGGGATGCTGTCAGGTTGAAGAAGGAGGCCTATCGGGCCTTTTTGGCCTGTGGGACTCCGGAATCAGCTGATGGGTACCGGCGGGCGAAGCGGCATGCGGCTCGGATGGTTGCTGAGGCAAAAACTCGGGTGTGGGAGGAGTTTGGAGAGGCCATGGAGAAAGACTTCCGCACGGCTCCGAAGCGATTCTGGTCCGCCATCCGGCGTCTCAGGAGGGGGAAGCGGTGCAGCACCAACACTGTTTATAGTGGGGATGGTGTGCTGCTGACCTCGACTCGGGACGTTGTGGGTCGGTGGGCGGAATACTTCGAAGACCTCCTCAATCCCACCAACATGTCTTCCATTGAGGAAGCTGGGCCTGGGGACTCTGGGCTGGGCTCTCCAATCTCTGTGGGCGAGGTCGCCGAGGTGGTTAAAAAGCTCCTCGGTGGCAGGGCCCCGGGGGTGGATGAGATCCGCCCGGAGTTCCTCAAGGTCCTGGATGTTGTGGGGTTGTGTTGGCTGACACGACTCTTCAACATTGCATGGACATCGGGGGCAGTCCCCCTGGATTGGCAGACTGGGGTGGTGGTCCCCCTATTCAAAAAGGGGGACCGGAGGGTGTGCTCCAATTACAGGGGAGTCACACTCTTAAGCCTCCCCGGCAAGGTCTATTCGGGGGTGCTGGAGAGGAGGGTCCGTCGGATAGTCGAACCTCGGATTCAGGAAGAGCAGTGTGGTTTCCGTCCTGGTCGTGGAACGCTGGACCAGCTCTACACCCTCAGCAGGGTCCTGGAGGGTGCATGGGAGTTCGCCCAACCAGTCTACATGTGCTTTGTGGACTTGGAGAAGGCGTTCGACCGTGTCCCTCGGGGGGCCCTGTGGGGGGTTCTCCGGGAGTACGGGGTGCCGGGCCCTTTGATACGGGCTGTCAGGTCCCTGTATGACCGGTGTCAGAGTCTGGTCCGCATTGCCGGCAGTAAGTCGGGCTCGTTTCCAGTGAGAGTTGGACTCCGCCAGGGCTGCCCTTTGTCACCGATTCTGTTCATTACCTTCATGGACAGAATTTCTAGGCACAGCCAAGGTGTTGAGGGGATCCGTTTTGGTGGCCTTAGGATTGCGTCTCTGCTTTTTGCAGATGATGTGGTCCTGTTGGCTTCATCAAGTCGTGATCTGCAGCTCTCGCTGGATCGGTTCGCAGCCGAGTGTGAAGCGGCCGGGATGGGGATCAGTGCCTCCAAATCCGAGGCCATGGTCTTGAGCTTGAAAAGGGTAGAGTGCCTTCTCCGGGTCAGGGGGGGTGTCCTGCCCCAAGTGGAGGAGTATAAGTATCTTGGGATCTTGTTCACGAATGAGGGAAGAAGGGAGCGGGAGATCGACAGGCGGATTGGTGCAGCGTCTGCCGTGAAGCGGGCACTGTACCGGTCCGTCGTGGTGAAGAGAGAGCTGAGTCAAAAAGCGAAGCTCTCGATTTACCGGTCGATCTACGTTCCTACCCTCATCTATGGTCATGAACTCTGGGTCATGACCGAAAGAACGAGATCGCGGATACAAGCGGCCGAAATGGGTTTCCTCCGTAGGGTGGCTGGGCTCTCCCTTAGAGATAGGGTGAGAAGCTCGGTCATCGGGAGGGACTCGGAGTAGAGCCGCTGCTCCTCCACGTCGAGAGG